AGTTCTAAGAAGTTACAGCAAAGGGAACTGATGTTTGCATGGAGCTTTCTACTGACTAGGTTTTGTTTCTTGGATTGTCATTTTAGACCTCATTTATATCTAAAAACCAATATATATAAAGCTAAAATTCAATACATGTGGCTAAATTAAATGTTGCTAGCGTCTTGATTTAAATTTTGTGCTGGTGCACCTTTATTGTGTTTGTCGGGATCTCTCATGAATTTGTATCTCTTCAAGAAAATGTGAAAGTGGTGATGGAGTTTGTGAATCAGATGTCAGGACTTAAATTTCCCTCTGGGAAAGAAAAGGTTTCACTCTCATTTTGATTTGGGAAAGGGCTGAGCTAAGCATGTATTAAAATATTAAATGTGCTTTATCATCTTGACTTTATTGGAGAGCAGAGCAATGCCAGCACTTAGCACAAGGTGGTGTTTCAGCCTTTTCTATGAATGGTCATCTCTCCAAATGATATTTTTTGGAGAAAAAATGGCTGTAGAAATGAAGTGCCGGCCTTTCAAAATAGACTGTTTTCCAATCATTTAAACATGAAAATGCATCACAGTTCACTCACTGTATAATTTTAATTCAAAGTTCTGTAACTTAAATTATATGTAGGAAAAGTGTAATAACACAAAATAAAAATTGGGATTTATGGGAAGTATTTTTTCAATAGTTTCTCTAATACATTTTTGTAAATGTGATGGATAGCTATTACCATTGTAATGCATTTTGACCTAACTTAAAAACCTGGACAAAGTTAACTCAAAGATGTAACCTGGGAGTCACCAGAGCAGCTAGATCAACTGTTTTCTCCTGGTTGTGGCAAACTGGCCAAAGTTGGGAAAGGACACATTATAATTCCAGCTGCCATCTAAGAATTCAGAAGCAATACTAGATCCAAGAGCGACCTGCAGCTATTATTCTGCCTCTTGAGAGAAACTATGATTCTGTTATAGACGAACACTTTTTCAGATAACTGGCTCCCTAGATCTCTTATCCGAACCAATACTATATTGCTTGGGCTGGGTTTTATCCAATTGGTCCTGAATTCTGGGGAGCAGTTGCCACAATCAAAATGCGTTGATTTGTGCATACTGATTACTGTTGACTAATCCAGCAGTATCATGTAGGTAGATTGAAATGGATAAAAATATAAAGTGGAACTACTGCAAAATACAATGACCACAAAGTAGTACTTTCAATTCAGATAGATAGCACAAAAGAATCTCACTGTGGTTGTACTGAAAGCTATCAAGAGTCTTAGGAAAATCAACTTGATTATGACCCCCTCCTGAAGTAGGTCATCAAGCAAAACACCAAGCCAATCCTTGTTCCAGAAAAAATAAAAATCTGTCTTCAAAAGTACCTAGGGTCCTGTTGCCATCACTCTTCAACATCTTGGCAAATAGCAAACTATAGACTGGATTATAAATATCAAAGTTAGCAAAGCCTAGTGGATTTTTGTTTGTAGTGGAAAACTAGAGGGGAGCATGTGAATTCATTTTTATTCTAGTTCTGAACTGTGCAATACTAAAATAACATAGCCTGGTAACCTGGAAAATAGAGCAATAGAAACAGAGACTATTGTTGTGAGGGGCAGGAGGAGGGATCTAGGGGTAGAGGGGAGCCTATAGCGGTGTTCCTGGGCAGGAGGGGAGGCGGGAGGAGGAGGAGATGGCGGGGTGCATGCGGAAGGGTTCTTGCTGCCCCCAGGCCATTTCCAGTCAAGACACAAAAGATGAAGCCAATCTCTCCAGTTATATTTATTCCTCTCTCCCTCATAATGTTCAAAAAGTAGCCACACAGTCATATTACTCCTCCAAATAAAACATCACTTAATTCTACAAAGCTCAATGTTCCTTGTTTCCCATAGCCATTTTGAATAGCACTAGAAAAAGTCCAGAACCCCTTGCACTATCACAGCCTCTGGGGAATTTTCTCATTGTACTGTATTGCAAGAATGACATGGATTGCTGGATAGGGACTACCAGTTGCATCATTGAGCTGGGAATGAAGAGCAAGTGAGCTGCTGATCAAGCAAAAGACTGACCCCCCCTCTTTAAGGCTACATCTGCTCTGTAGAACTATTGCAGTTTGACACCACTTCCACTGCCATGACTCAGTGCTATGGAATCATGTAGTATTACAAGGTCTTTAGCTTTCTCTGCCACAGAGTGCTGGTTCCTCACCAAAATACATGCCCCATAATTCCACAGCATTGAACCATGGCAGTTAAAGTAGTGCCAAATGGCATTAATTCTATTATGCAGATGCACTTTTCCTTTCTGTCTGGGATAGAAGGATTTCAAACAGAGAGGATTGTCAGTGTAATCTTTTTGGTCCTGGGAATTGTGAACCTGTATATGGGAGACTTTCAGTCTGATGTGTATGAGATGTAGATGTCGGCTATGATTGGCCTCCGAGCAGTTTTGTTTGATATAATACAGGACTTTGTTCTAGAGCAGTGGTTCCCTTATTATGTTCCGCTGATCCCTAGAGTTCCCCAAATTTATTTTTTGTGAGTTTCCACAAAAAATCTTAAAAACAAATTTAAAATGGATTTAAGAATAAAACCACGTAATGCCATCTATTTTATTTACAATATCTATGATAGCTATTTTGTGCTGCAACTATTGCTATGAAGTATGTAATTTACTGGTTACACTTGTCAACATTTTATATCAAGAGTGATTCATGGATGTTATATAGGCAATTGGGAAATGTATTTAAATTTGCATAAAATGATCCAGAATATTTTTAATTAAACAAATCAGGGATAAAGTTTGGGTTCTGAGGAAAATAAATATCTTTTGAAGGGTTGGATGACTGAATTTTTTTTGAAAACTGCTGTTCTAAAGGTCCATTCCCTTTGGAGACAAATGAATCACAATCACATTGTGATTTTGTTTTTAATGTTAGTCCTTTAAGTAGTATTAGATTCTTAGTTGTTTTTTCCTGCTCTCAACAACTGCTCTGCATTCCTGTCATGAAAATAATTATACAAGGATTTAGCTATAATTCTTTGATATAAAAATGGGATCAAGATTTAAGATTTTTTTTGTGTCAGAAGCAACTTGAGAAACTGCAAGTTGCTTCTGGTGTGAGAGAATTGGCCGTCTGCAAGGACGTTTCCCAGGGGATGCCCGGATGTTTGATGTTTTACCATCCTTGTGGGAGGCTTCTCTCATGTTCCCTCATGAGGAGCTATAGCTGACAGAGGGAGCTTACTCCACTCTCCCCGGATTTGAACTGCTGTCTTGTTGGTCAGCAGTCCCGCAGCACAAGGGTTTAACCCATTGCGGCACTGGGGGTGCTGTAAGATAATAAATGAATTAGTAGGCAAACAAATTCTGACTAGCTGCATGTGAAATCATGTTTTCTGTACCTTTTGGTACACATTTATTCGCACACCAAGAAACCAATCCCTGTGCTTCGACAAATGTATTTGTTTTCAAACGTGTACTCTTGTGTTCAACTTACCCTTTTCGGTATATATTTTTAAATGCAATGTGAAATCTAATGAACCCATATGGAAATAATGATCAGAAATTTATTTATTTATTTATTTATTTATTTATTTACTTTGCTTGTATACCGCAATTTCTCAGCCTTGTAGGCGACTCAACGCGGTTTACAACAAGAGCAAAAGTCAATTCAACAGCATACAAAATTTAAAAACCATTAACAGCATAATATACAAAATGACATATCAATAACAACACATTAACGTCTCGTAACTAAAATCGTGATCCAATTCGTCTTCCATAATTCCGTTTCCTATATTCATCGTGTACATTGCATTGTTTAACCGAACGCCTGTTCGAACAGCCAGGTTTTTAGTTTTCTTCGAAACACCATTAACGAAGGGGCTGATCTAATGTCCATGGGAAGGGCGTTCCACAGCCGAGGGGTCACCACAGAAAAGGCCCTGTCCCTCGTTCCCGTCAGCCGTGGCTAAGTTATGACAATTGGTAGGATTATTGTACTCAAAGTTTTAAAAGTCAGAAGTGTTGCAAAACTGCATTTTAATTATTTGAGATATGCCCAGCTACAGAGCTGCTTTATGTATAATAGTCTTTATATAAATGTGAAGAAAAGCTCAGTTCATCATTTTGCAACGAAGTTGCGGAACTGCGGTTTTGTTTTGTTTCTATTTGTAATGGTGCCATCGTGTTAGATATGTTTCTAGGAACACTTCCACAACAACTCATACTGGTTTACTTCTAAACCACTCTTTTAGAATTGTCCCACGGCCTAACTGCTTATGTGATCTAAAGTTCACAATTTTATTTTGGCAACAGGTCCTTTGCACATGATCTTTTCTGTCACTCCAACAGAGAATGATGAAAGACACACTTTCTATTTATATGTGTAAAGATGCACATGGGATCAGTGATCTCACCTCCAGGTTTAGAGACAATATGTCTCTGAGTGCCAGTCGCTGGGGAGCAACAGCAGGGGAAGGCAGTTGCCTTCAAACCATCCTTATGGACTTCCTGAAGGCATCTGCTTGCCCATTGTGGGATGCAGGATGCTTGACCAGACAGACCTTTTGGTTTTAGCCAGCAGGGCTCTTGTTGTTTTACATTCTGATGTGTGACAAAAATATTTCAGTCCATTGTGTTTGTGGCACTGTCATGTCAAAAATCATAGATGGAGAAAATTATTCTTGGAACAGGTATGCCACAATGTAAAACACCTTTTCTGGGAAATAGACTCCATTGAAGCTATTACTCAGTCCTTTTGCGTAAGCCTGCATAAGATTCAACTATTTAAAACACACTTGTTGTATTTTCTACTGGACTTTGATCTTGTTCTTGTATCTGATTTCCCCCACATCATGAGACTTCTGGAATGACTGGTTTTTGAGAAGGTGATAGTCACATACCTGTTTCTAGAAAAGGGCTCTATATTTGGTACATATTTGGTGTAAACATTTTTTTCTGTTCTTGCTTTTGTTGAAGAAAGTAATTTGCATTTCCTCTACATGTTACACATAGGTAATGTGGGTATGTAACTCGTGCCGAAAACAACAAGAAATCCTCACAAAATCCGGAGCCTGGTTTTATAATAGTGGAACGAACACACCGCAGAAGTCTGATCAAGACGTTTTTAGAGGACTGCGGAACGAAGAAGCACCTCAGGAGAAAAAAGCAAAGCTGCAAGAGCAATCCATATCAGCATTGGAACGAGGTAGATCTCAAGGGCTCACAAGGCAAGAGTCCATAAACGGATCGGGAGGAAAGGTGGCAGGTGACACAGCAGATAGGTAAGAAGCCGGTTCGTTTTATTATTTCAGAGCGAGATGTCATCCATTTTTTTAGTCACATTACCTTTTAAATTTTTACTAATTTATTTTAACCAATAAGAATCGAAAATGGAGTTTAATAATTTTCCAAAATGTACAGCCTGTTATTTAATTTAATTACAATTTATATCAGGATAGTGCTATGAAAGAAAGGGTTTTATTGTGAATCAAGTACTCAATCTACTCCACATGCCTGTAGAATGAATAGGACTCAAATGTTTTGTACTGGCTCTACAGCGTACATAAGATTACAGTTACTAGTATACATGGAAACAAAATAATAATAGCTGGCATTTCCTTTGGAAATCTCAGATATTTATCTCTCTGTTTACATACATATGCATTTACATACATATATCTGAGCTTTCTCCATGTAAGAGGTCAGAGGAAATCACTAACATGCACAATTTATTTGAAAACAATGTAATTTTTTCCCCATAAACTGTAAGTGTTAATTACTAATGCTACATTTGTGTTATTCTAGCTCTTTGGGAAAAAATCTCTTTCATTTTTCTATAAAAAATCATAGAAAATACTATATGTGAATTTAAATGTTAAAACACATTCACATCCGTCTATTTTATAATTATTGGTAGCACGTTTCTGAATGTTTTCTGAATTTTTTATGTATTGGTGTTTATTCTCAACACAATTCAGACTGTTTTGGGACCATTTTGCTCATCCCCGGGACCTCAGTGGGCTGGACACTCCTCTAGCCCCCTAACTTACCTATTAGCTCTAATTTTGATAAGTAGCACCTTTGGTGGGATATGATTTGCCATTTGCATTTTATTTCAGGTCATCACAGTTTCCGATCTTAAAAAGTTTGCTTTGGAAGGATAAAGTAAAGATCAGTCAGTTTCGAGAGGGCGGGGGGGAGAAGCTATTTGGGAGTTTGAAACAGGCCAGGAGTGGTTGGGTTGCTTTAAATAGCATTTAAATGGCAAATCTACCTCTAGGCTTTTGTGATTGTTCTTTGCCTTCTTTTGTAAGTATGTATTTCTTTTAGCACGGGTTGCTCAAAAGTGATTGGGGTAGGGTTACTCCCTGATAAGCGATAATTTGCCCAGATTCTAGAAATGGAGAGGAGTTCATTGTTTGGGCCATAAACTAGACTGGGTTCCAAGCATATTTTAAAGTATGTTTCCAGTCCCTCTGCAAGAGAACAACTGCAGCCCTATTGTTTTGCAAGAAAAGTGCTAGCTACTTCCCTTCAGTGCTGACTGAACATTCACAATCTCATTGAGATTTAAAGTTATGCTCTTCCAGTCCCCAGGGAAATGTTGCAATTTGGGGAAAAGCCTCGTTTCTCTGTAGGTTTGTGCAGTCATCAAGAAATGTATAGAACCAAACCAGTTGTCAAACAGAAAAGAAGGTGGAATTGGGAGGACAGATAGAAGCTTTTTGTAGAAGATAGCTATTTGCTGTGAACCTTAGATTTCTGGTAAATAGTTTCAAATAAAAATAAGTTTTTCCAGAAAGAATAATTCATATGTACTTGTCTTATCTGTAAGTATAGCCCCCTTTTCCATATTTCTTACCAAGTTAAATGGGGTGTACTCATGGGTAAAGGAGCAATGCAAATGAAATTTACACATTTACATTTATTAGTATTCTATTTCCATCACATGTTTGCGTGAGTGTGTATGCATCCAAGTCGCCTGTTGACTTATAATGGCCCCATAGGGTTTCATAGAGCTTTTTGAGACAAGCTCAGGTATTAAATGCTGTTTAAAATGCCTGCAGCATATTCAGCTGACAAATCTCCTCTGGCAGGTCATTCTACAATCTGGGGTGACTGAAGTAAATGTCCTCTGGGTAACAGTTGTCAATCTAGTTTTATCTGACTGAAGTTGATGTTCTCCAGATGACCTGAGCGTACAGGGTAAATTGTATAGGAGAAGGCGATTCTATAGGCAACTTACATCCAAATACTTCATACTTTGCCAGAAACTAATTGGCAGTCAGTGGCCTGATTTTAATATTGGTCTAACATGATCACTCCTAGATGTTTCAGTAACCAATCTGGCTAACCTTTTTGAACAAACTGAAGTTTCTGAACTTGGTACAGATCTAGCCCAATGTACAGTGCCTTGCATAAGTCCAGCCCTGAGGTTTCCAGAACATCTTCTACCATCTTTAAGTGCTCAATTCTAGAAAGGATAATAATAATAATAATAATAATAATAATAATAATAATAGTAATCATCATCACCATCATCCTATTTTTAGGACTGCTTACAGTAAAAAACACAGTGGCAAACATTCAATGCTAAAAACCAAAACAACATATAACAAATCAAAAATAAATTCAATAAAAATTAATTACAGCATAAACAAACATAGCACAATACAATCCACACTTTACAACGTGGTAAGTTCTTAAAAGCTCTTTAAAGAGTTCCACTAGAGATTATTATTAAAGCTAAGATGGTATAAGCTAATAGACGAAGGTAGGTATTCAACACTTTGGCACGGGTTTATATGGAGATGTAATCAGTCCTCCTCTTCTCATGCCAAGGTGCATAGGTGAGTGAATAGCTGGAGAAAAGGAGAAGTTGACAGTAGCTGGAGAAAAGGAGAAGTTGACAGTAAGAGCATTTGGAATATTTATACTTCACCCTTCAAGAACAAAAGGTTCCCAGAACAGCATACAGTTAGCTAGTTCTCTTACCCTAGGCTTGCAATCTACATAAGACACCACACAAGAAAATAGGCTGATGGCATTTCTGACTACTTCCTGTTGCAATCAAAGGGCACTATCATGTGAGTTGGAATGTGGAGGGAAGGGTTCTCATTGCTGCTCCAGGGGCCAAGCCATTCACCTCCTTCAGAGGCCACTGTTACGCACAACAAAAAACCAAATCATATTATATGAATGTCCATAGGATCCGCATGTTGCTGGTGGATTTGGGGAACCGGTATATGTGGGGTTCTTTCCAAAAGGTACCAAATCCTTCTGAACAAATTTTACAGGAATTGGAAAAAAACCATGCCGATGATATGCATTGTTTTTTTTGGATTTGGTACATTTTGGAAACAAACTCCACACATGGGAACTTTAGGTGAGAAGAGACTGAATGGATTGAATATGTCAGAATCAGCCTAAAGTTCTGAAGAGCCATTATGTAAAATAGGAGCCCCTGGTGGTGTAATGGGTTAAACCCTTGTGCCAGTAGGACTGCTGACCGATAGGTCAGTGGTTCGAATCTGGGGAGAGCAGGTTGAGCTCCCTCTGTCAGCTTCATCTCCCCATGCAGGGACATGAGAGAAGCCTCCCACAAGGATGGTAAAAACATCGAACGTTCGGGCATCCCCAGAGCAATGTCCTTGCAGATGGCCAATTCTCTCACACCAGAAGCAACTTGCAGTTTCTCAAGTCGCTCCTGACACGGAAAAAATTATGTAAAATTCATTCAATATAATACCTTTTCTATATTTATGTGTGTGTGTGCACATGCATGAGCATTTGTCACACATTGAACTATTTTGACTTGGCTTTGATTCTTTTTTGTCAAGCTTTTTGAAAGAGGCCCCTCCGAGCCATAAAAAGGTTTCTGTGTGTGTGAGAGAGAGAGAAAGAGAGAGAGAGAGAGAGAGAGAAAACCATGCAAAATTGTTTCTCACACAGAGGGTGCAAGAAGTATTTTCAATTTTTAAAAAAGTATTTAAAATATATTTGGAGGCTGTGGGACAGATGCAACCCTCTGTCATCTAGTAAGAGTGGGTGCATCCCTCAGACCTTGGGCCGTTGGCCAACATGGCTCTACGTCCCACCTCGGAACCTAAGATCTTCCGGGGGGGCCCTGCTCTCGACCCCGCCTTTATCACAAGTGAGATTGGCGGGGACGAGGAGCAGGGCCTTCTCAGTGGTGGCCCCCCACCTGTGGAACTCACTCCCCGGGGAGATTAGATCGGCAACGTCCCTTCTTTCATTTAGGAAAAAGTTGAAAACCTGGATATGGGACCAGGCATTTGGACATCATGGCAGCTAAAGAAAGACCTGATGACGAGCTGGAATTTGACGAGACGGAAGGGATTAACGAAACTCCGAACGCTGAGCTCAGGATTAGTTTACTACTGTGTTACTGTATTTCTGTGTAGTGATGTTTTTAAATTTTAATATGTAATTGTTTAATTTGCTTATATATGTATGTTTATGTGACAAAGGCATCGAATTGTGCCTTCCTCTGTAAGCCGCCCTGAGTCCCCCCCCGGGGGTGAGAAGGGCGGGGTAAAAGTGACGGAAATAAATAAATAAATAAATAATATACGCTGTAACCAAGGAGGGGTTTAAACCTTGGTTTCCTTGTTTGAAGTCTAGTATCCTATCACATTAGGGATCTGCATGGCAGACACTATGGTTAGATACCATGGTTTGAATCCCTGCTCAGCAATGAAGATTAATTGGGTGACATTGAGTAAGTTTCACTCTCAACCTTAGAGGAAAAGAAAGGCAAACCACTTTTGAATAAATCTTGCCATGCGAACCCAGGGATAGGTTTAAATTAGGATCATCATAAGACAGAAGTAACTTGATAGCACACAACAACAAACCCTATTATATTTACCAGCTTTCTCAGATCAATAGCTACTGCATAAATGATGTCAAGGCTGGTAAAAGGAGAAAAATTGTGGTAGAAAAATAATGGAGCAATTATTGTACTGATTTTGTGTAATATGAACATTTGCATAACATTTTTGCTACCTGGGGCACTTACATAAGGTAATTTCAGATTAGGACATACTGGTTATGGTGCTTTGGAGGCCCTGAGGATCTGCATAAGTTATGAAGAGCCTTTATTTACTAAAATACCTCCATCCTCTGGAGCAATTTGGCCATATTGCTGGGGGGTGTGTGTGTTAAACTACACTTTGAGTCTGAAGTTTCTCTTTCTCTCTTGACAGGGCATCTACATTTTTAATTTTATGTCAAAAAAAAAAGAAATTTCAGTTAGTAT